TAGCTGTTAGCATTAACAGTATGTTCACTTAAGAGTCAGTGAAATTAATTTATTTACATTATATTTGATGCCTAATACCTTTGATTTCCATTTAATGAACATTTTGCTTCCAGTGCGAGTGTTTCATTAGTTGTAGGATGACAGGGATTCCCGACAGTTAACCTCATCATTCACAGTGTGTGACGAAACAAGACTATAACAGTAAACCTCCCTGTGGTGTGAATGACGGTCGTTGTGGAAGTGTGAATCAGGGCACGGTTGCCAGGATGAAGACGTTCAAAGTCACCGCATCACGTCACTGCTCTTGTACGAGTGACACTGCTCAGCTCGACGCGAGATGTGTTGCATTGCTCACGGTAGCTGTCACTCACGTCTGCTCAAATCACCAGCTCTCGCTGGAAATGAATGACTTCTGATCGCTTTGCCTCTGCAAATCGCTGTCGGTGCAAACGCACCATTAGGCTTACTGAATTTAAAACGTACTGGGAAATTGTTTCTGTTGATGTTATTCTTTTTGTTATTCTCTGCACATTTCATATCACATATTCAGGTCGTTCTATTATACAGTCCTCATTGTCCTGTGGTGTTATCACACAACACACAGTCAGGGTCTCATCTGTTATCTTGTGCACCTTCATGTGTGATTTTATGTTGAGTTGATAGTTTTGGAGCCTCAGGTCATGCCTATTTGAACCAGGAAACCAAGTTTTTTTTCCCTTAGACTTTGTCTTCTGCAGCCCTTTCCATTTTATTTTCAGGTGGAGATACAGGTTGTGCCATCATGTTTCAGTCTTTAGTAATTACTCTTTTACTTGAAATACATAATGTTTAGGCACAAATCTATTACAGAGCTGAATTAGCGTGGGTGTAGGTCTGATGTGCTGCAAATCCTTTCTTGTTGTGAGTTTCTACCTACTTCCATGTTAGAATGTGACTTGATATGATATATTTATCTATAGTTTTAGTTTCAGGATAATGGTGACGACAGCTCTGCATATTCTGTGCTGTGTTTCCCACAGAGGGTGTTAAGATGGTGACCATGTATTATGCAGTGTACTATGTGCTGGCTGCTGACAATGAGTCCCAATGCACACTCCCATAACTCCCATAATTCACACTATCAGGGACGGAGATTCACAAGTCTCGACAGTGAGGTGTGCAATAAAGTTTAATGTAGAAGAATACTAATCAAATCTACAACAGAAACGTCTGGCTGCCGATTATTAGTCATTCTTCAATAGCCAGTATTACATTACCTACTACAAGATGTATTCCTTATTGAAGAACCGTACAATACAAATCATGTTATCCTGCATTTTTATAGGAATTTAGCAAAACAGCTTATGGCCAGTTATCGGAGTGTCTATTTACACTATGTGCAAATAGCCCACCTTGTTGGCAGAGGCTATTTATACTAACTCCGCCCATCAATGTGTGATTGGGCTAGACAACATTACAAAAGATGCCCACAAGACATCACAAGTTCCAGTGGTGTCTCTAATGAGGTGTGTTCCTTTTGACGTGATCGACCCGAGATCGAACCCGCCTTTTGCCGAAATTTTTTTCTTTCTTTACAGATCTCATCTCACATCGGAAAGGCATTTATTTTCAATAAAAATGAAGGAAATAA